ATTCAAAAAAATATTTTCTTATTATTCTATGACTGTAATAGAAAATAGAGATACTTGTAGTCATTCTTAATTAGTTGAAAAATATGTATTTATATAATACCCAAATATGTATAGTATAAAAAAAAATAAAAAATATATTTTGTATTTTAAGACATAAAAAGGCGTTACACAAATGTGCCCCATAAAAAATATGACATGTCAAAATAAATCGTGTAACCGAAAGTTACATATCTGTATTAAATGGTGGACATATTTTATTAAATGAACATCTATTTTTTTATTAAATGAATTACTATTATTATTAATTGCTAGTTGAATAAAATTTATTGAAGCTTGCCAGCAATTATATATATATATATATAGAGATTCGACCGTCTCTCGCATAAATATTTCGCACTTTCAGTTATCTTAGACTGTCTGTCGCATAATTTATCTCATAAATATTTCTCACTTATCTTTGTCTGTATATTGCATAGTTTTTTATGGCATAATGAGATTGTACGTGCTCGATTATCTTCGTCTCTCTGTCTCATAGTTTATTGCATAAATATTTCGCACTTCATCGATCAATCACATCTTTTTATCATATAGCTTATCACATAATTTATCACATAAGTACTTAACACTTTATCGATTATATTCACTTTTTCTTTTCAATATTTTATCATATAATTATTTCTTCCACGTTAGTGTCTCGTACCTGGTGAAATAAAAAAACTAACTTATTAATTAATGATGATGTAAGTGGGGTAAAAAAAGTCAACTAATGATGCAAAAATTTCAGCCTACGGGCTAAAAATAGGCATTTCCTCTATCATTATAGTATGCCGGTGTGAAGGATCCGCCGTGCAAGACGTTCAGGAAAATTTCCGGCCGATTTACTTATGGGTTCGGGCTGCAGGCGCTGCAGGCCCAATTGTGAGAGTGAAGCTTTAGTTTCAGAATGAAAAAAAAAACTATAAGAAAAAGAGTTAAGCAAGAGAGGGGCAGCTTCAGAAACCCTATTTGGGTGTTGATGATTATTGTTTCAGAGAATTCTGTCCTTTAGGAGGGGTACGTCACTTGAATTTCAATTTGAATTATGTCTTTTGTATTTCAATTTGTTTTTAATGTACTTGTGTTGTGGTGTTTTA